AACGAGAGTAATAAGGAGATAGTGAGGGAAGGAGGTGAGGTGGTACATGATGGGATTCTCCCTGCTATGGAGAAGGTAGATTCCACTGATTCAATGGTAGGAAAATCCGGGAAAAAAAGATGGCACCCGTAGGCCATTGTTTAACCCAGGACCAGGAGGAGCTGCAAGTAAGAAATTTGCACAAGTCATCCTTTCACCGCGTAAACGCTTACTTGCTAAGCAAGGTTCTCGCAAGGTAGGTGGGGCAAAGCATGGAGATGTAAAGGGTCCTTTAATCCCGAAAGTTAACACAAAACCATAAGTTTTATGGATAGAGTTCACACAAGAAATGGAATGTGGGATGAAGTGATGGGTTTTCTTTGTTTTCCAGTTCTGAATTTAATTTTAATAAGTGCATTTTGCAGTCTTGTTGGTGTTTTCTGGTTTTTTTAGCTCTGGTATTGGCTTTGCTTTCGTTGTATGCTTTTGGCAAATGTGATCCTATTAATAAACATGGTTTCTTTGGTTATGGATTCTGACTTACGCGTTTCATTGTTGTTATTGGGAGTTGGAATTGTAGTGCAGGTGTGTAGGAGCCTTCTTTGTGCGGGTGTAACGGGGAGCTACTCTTTCAACATGGATTTGATGGGTGTCGAGGGATGTATGTGATATTTAGATTTACTTCATCTCTGACTCTTTGTTTGATGCAGATACCAGATAGCTTTCATTCTTGAACATTTAGTTATAGGTGCTTGGGTTATTGTAATTACATTTTATGTGTGGGTTGTTGCTGTTTTGATTGTTTAGTTGTTATAAGATTAGGATGGAACTCAAGGATCATCTGGTCTTGGTGGTTTTGGTGCTTACCACTGTTTGATGTCTTCTGCCGAATACTACATGGTAGGATAAGCCATCGGGAAATTTATATTAGGCCCTTTGGTCACGTTGTTGGTCATTCTGGATTTAAAAAAATATGTGATGGCTCTATTGGATTGGATCTCAGCAACTAAGGGATACTCGGTTTACATGGACTCTTGGTTTCTTGTGGCACATGTTCTTGATACATATGAATGCTCGGGGTTCTTTTGGTTTATGCGCTTATGCACGACGAATTCATATACGTGTAATATATAACATTGTCTGTCATAACCTATGGGTCTCTTTAAACCCCTGCAATGAATATGGACAAGTATGGCATGGGTGTATGCAACCCAAGTGAAGGAAGGAATATCGTATTATATGGACCACAAGAAACTTCTATTTCATTGAAACCAATGAGTACAGTGAGAAGTTAATTTTCACAAACTTTCAGCATAGAACGGTAATGGGGAGGATTATATTTCTCAAGGGTGTCATTGTACCCGAATGTGAAGCTCCCACGAGCACTGTATATATTAATTATTATGCATGTGTTAATCTGGAATTGTAGAGGAATGGGAAGTAAATGGACAGTTACTTACCTAAGAGAAATATGGCACAAACATAAATCAGATTTTCTGTTTTTATCGGAAACAAAACAAGATTATGAGTTTGTACAAGGGTTTCAAGCACATTTTGGATATGATAATCTGGTTACGGTGAATCCGATAGGCAGGAGTGGGGGCCTGGCTCATTTTTACAATAATGAGCACCAAGTAAATATCTTATATTCGAATAATCGGATGATTGATGTGGAAGCGATGGCGAGGGGGGGGGGGAAATTTTTCTAACTTTTGTGTATGGAGATCCGGTACAAGACTTACAGGAGCAGGTCTGGGAGCGATTAACTCGTTATGGTCTAGCAAGATAAGAACCTTGGTTTATTATTGGAGATTTAAATGAGATCACATGAAATCATCAAAAGGAAGGGGGTGCGTTAAGGAGTTTGGCTTCTTTCGTTCCTTTTAATAATATGATTCGAAATAGTGGGTTAATTGAGTTCCCGGCCCGAGGCAATAAAATTTCATGGCAAGGTCAGCGAGGGAAAGGAAAAGGAGCGGTGATGATAAGATGTCGTCTCGATCGGGCACTAGCGAATGAAGAATGGCATACAATATTTATGTGTTCCTATACAGAATATTTGGGAATGGGTGGGTCAGATCATCGTTCAGTAATTGCATACATGGAGGAAACTTTTTTTAAAAGGTGGGGACAATTTAGATTTGATAAGAGATTGATTGGACAAGCAGACTTTATGGATTCAATTATTGTTGGCTGGACATATGCTCATAATAGCCAGGGGGATGGTTTGGTCACAAAAATAGGTAATTGCCGGCATGAGATAGCAAGGTGGAGGAAAAATAATCCTCCATATGGAAAGGAGAAAATTCAAAATCTCCAAAGAGCCCTGGAGGAAGTACAGATGGACGATAACATGACACATGAAGATATTTTGGAAGTCTCTAGGAAATTACAGGACGCATATAAAGATGAAGAGCACTACTGGTATCAAAAGAGCTGCAATACGTGGTACTCTTCGGGAGATCTTAATACTAAGTTTTTTCATGCCCTAACAAAACTACGACAGGTGCATAATAGAATAGTGGGGCCTCATGATGATGCTGGAAATTGGATAACAAAGGAAAATGGGGTGGAACAAGTAGCGGTGAACTATTTTGAGGAGTTATTTACCTCTACATTCCCATCTGACTTTGATAGTTTTTTGCTGGAAGTTCCCTCAAATATTACACCTCAAATGAATCAAAGGTTGTTGAGGGTAGCCATGGAGGAGGAGATTAGACAGGCTTTATTCATGATGCATCCCGAGAAGGCACCAAGTCCGGATGGAATGACAGTGCTTTTCTTCAAACACTCTTGGCATGTTATTAAAAAGGATTTGGTAGAGATGGTGAATAATTTTTTGGTAACTGGAGTGTTGGATGCTCGTCTAAATATCACTCATATTTGTATGATTCCGAAGACGGAGAGACCCACACGGATAACAAAACTTAGACCGATAAGTCTCTGTAATGTGGGATATAAAATCTCAAAAGTTTTATGTCAACGGCTGAAAAGCTGTTTGTCTCTCCTCATATCGGAAACTCAGTCGGCTTTCGTCCCCGTGAGGTTGATATCGGATGCTCATGAGATGTTTCATGGCCTACGTGCCAATAAATCCTGCCAAGGAAAATTATGGCGATAAAAACAGACATGAGTAAAGCGTATGACCGAGTAGAATGGGATTTTATTCAAGCTTTGTTACATAAAATGGGGTTTGATCCTCATTGGATTAAGCTAATGATGGAATGTATATCTTCTGTCCAGTATCGAGTACTGATCAATGGTCAGCCTAAGGGCTCCATTATACCGCAGAGAGGTTTAAGACAAGGGGATCCTTTGTCCCCTTATTTATTTATTCTGTGCACAAAGGCCCTAATTTCTAATATTAAAAAGGCCGAGCGGCAAAACCGCTTAACAAGGATGAAGGTTGCGCGAGCATGTCCAGCTATTTCGCATCTTCTTTTTGCGGATGATAGTCTTTTCTTTTGCAGAGCGCAAAAGGAGGAGTGTCAAGTTATTCTCACCATCCTTAAGGAGTATGAGGCTGTCTCAGGTCAATTGATTAACTTTCAGAAGTCTTCAATTCAATTCGGTCATAGGATTGGGGAAGATACCAGACAAGACCTAAGGGATATACTAGGAATTCATAATATAGGAGGTATGAGAACATATCTAGGCTTACCTGAGAGTCTAGGTGGGTCTAAGATACAAGTTTTTTGTTTTGTTTAGGAAAGATTGAACAAAAGGGTTAATGGATTGACTTTTCGATTTTTTCACAAAGGGTGGAAAAGAGGTGATCATCAAATCGGTAGTCACGGCATTACCAAATCACGTGATGTCCTGCTATAGGTTACCTAAGACAACTATAAAGAAACTAACGACCGCAGTAGCTAAATTTTGGTGGAGCCCTGGAGGAAGTACAAAAGGGATGCATTGGAAATCATGGGATAAATTATGTATAGATAAGGATGCAGAAGGTTTGGGTTTTAAGGATCAAATAAAAGCGCCACAGGGCGAGACGCTTTCCAGAGAGATCACAGCTATACCGACTATACCAGGACGTTGGTGTTTTAATGATGGTTCATGGAAGGATAAGGACGTATTTGATGGACATGGGTGGTATAGCACTTTTGAAGGATTTGTGGGTTTAATGGGAGCAAAAAATGTTAGAGCCAGCCTCTCACCTCTTCATTCTGAGGTAGAGACCCTTATTTGGGCAATGGAGAGTATGAGAAATTTGCGCCAATATTCTGTTAATTTTGCAACAGATTGTTCTCAATTGGTGAAGATGGTTTCAGAACCAGCCGAATGGCCAGCTTTTGCAACTTATCTGAAAGATATCAAGTCGCTTCAAGGGAGTTTCCACACCTCGGAAATCATCTATGTACCGAGGACACATAATTCACGGGCGGATAGTCTTGTACGAAGTGCGAGGAAACAATCGTCTTTTGTTGTTCACATGGATTCAGAGTTTCCGGTTTGGTTTACAGAGTTCATATGAGTTTGTTATGTTGATGTAAAAAAAATTAAAAATTAAAAATTAATAATTACAGTTATATTTAGAGATGAAATCCAATTTATCGAAATGATAATTAAATCAACGGTAAAAACAAAAAAAATCGACTAGATATAACATATATAAAATTATAGTATAATTAAAGTGATATAATATTATTAATATAAATGATGCATACAAATTATAAATTAATTTATAATTAAAACTAAATAGTAATCAATTATTATCATATATTTATTTTAAAAATATTTATATCCGTGCATGAGCACGGAAAAATCACCTAGTATAACAGTATATACTAAGTAGGTTAAACCAATACTTGACCGGGTCAACTCGTGTGTAGGTTAAACCAATAGTTCTATTTCTAACCGGAAGTAAGCTTCTTCCTTCCGGTTAAGCGGACTAAACTTGTCGCAGTCTTCTTTTATAAACCTCTCGTCGTTTCGATCTTGTAAGCTAAGACGACGACGTTTCTTTATCTCTCTAACCCCACTCGCACTTTCCCGCTCTCGTCGTCACAGAGAGAATGTCGATCAAACTCCTCGTTCTTGTTTTCTCTGCTCTGATAATCTTCACGAGACCTAAATTGATCGTCGATAAGCACTCATCTTCAAGAATCTCTCCGCTTCCTTCTCAATCTCATCCGACTTCGCCGTTTATACCTCCGTTTCCGCCGCTCAGGGCCCAGTCTCCGGTGATCGAGCCGTCTTTCCCTCGTGTACCGGCGTTGTTCGTGTTCGGAGATTCCTCCGTGGATTGTGGAACCAATAACTTTCTTGGGACCTTGGCGAGAGCAGATCGGCTTCCGTACGGTAGAGATTTCGATACGCATCAGCCAACGGGGAGGTTTAGCAATGGCAGGATCCCCGTTGATTTTATAGGTGATAATCTTGAGTTTTGAGTATCAAGACTCATCTGCTCTTAGTTGATTCGTTAGACTGAATCATAGTTTTGTGTGTGTTAATTGCAAATCATGTGAACAGCTAATCGTCTAGGCTTACCATTCGTTCCTAGTTATCTTGGACAATCTGGGACTGTTAAAGACATGTTTCAAGGCGTGAACTATGCATCAGCTGGTGCTGGTATCATCTTATCTAGTGGATCCGAATTGGTATTACTCAAAGTTCTCTCATCTTTCAGTCTTTTGAGTTCGCATTTTGAATCCTGGGGTGAACCTTTCCTTGCAGGGTCAGCGGGTTTCCTTTGCAATGCAGGTTGAGCAGTTTGTGGATACGTTCCAGCAGATGATACTGAGCATTGGGGAGGAAGCTTCAGATCGTCTGGTCTCCAACTCCGTTTTCTACATTTCGATTGGAGTGAATGATTACATTCATTTCTACATCAGAAACATCTCCAGTGTGCAGAGTCTCTATTCTCCTTGGCTTTTTAATCAGTTCTTGGCTTCCAATATGAGACAGGAGCTCAAGGTAGGAACTATGTTTTATAGTTCCAACAAGTAGAACAAGTAGTCTATGTAAAGGTCAAACCATAAACCCTTGTTCTGTTTTGGATCTCTGGATGGTATCTGTCAAAGCTCTTGAAGCTTTGCATATTGATAGCCTAAAGATCATAATTTCGTCTTCCTTAGGTTATATATCGTTCTCTGATCTCACCATTAAGTGAAATATTCTTGTTTGTTTCACAGACCTTGTACAATGTCAAAGTGAGGAGGATGGTGGTGATGGGGTTGCCACCGATTGGCTGTGCACCATACTACCTCTGGAAATACAGGAGCAAGAACGGGGAATGTGCAGAAGATGTGAACAGCATGATCATGGAATCCAACTTCGTCATGAGGTACACTGTAGAGCAGCTTAACCGTGAGCTTCCAGGTGCATCCGTTATCTACTGTGATGTGTTCCAAAGTGCCATGGACATCCTCAAGAACCACCAGCTCTACGGTAAGCAACAACAACAATAAAGAAACACTTCCGTCTCAGTCAGTTCTCACTAAACACAGAGACTTTGCTTTAGTGACAACATAACGTTTTTAATGCCATAGCATTCTCTCAGGAACTCGTATGATATAGGCTGAGAGTTCTCTAAGAGTGGCTATCGGCTATATATAGAGTTTTCTGATGACCTTGTGAAAGAGAGACTTCTCAGAGTTTGGTTTAATATGAGTTGTTTTTTTTTTTTCTTTTGTGACTCAGGTTTTAATGAGACGACGGAGGCGTGTTGTGGGCTAGGGAGGTACAAGGGATGGCTTCCGTGCATCTCGCCAGAGATGGCTTGCTCTGACGCCGGCGACCATCTTTGGTGGGACCAGTTTCATCCTACAGACGCCGTGAACGCCATTCTCGCCGACAATGTATGGAATGGTCGCCATGTGGACATGTGTTACCCAACTAACCTGGAGACAATGCTTCATGCCTAAATCAGCTGAGGAGAAAAAGAATGCACATAAATGAGCCTTTACATTCTTAGTTTTGTCCCCATAGTGTATCATATATTCTCATTAGGAAAAGAAAAACTCAAAGGTTGATGACGAAAAAGAAAAGTCTGTGAGAGTCTAGTACAGGTTTGAGAAGAAAATAAATAAAATGATGTCGAATTCATGTTAAATTCTTATAATGTTTGGGCTTTGAACGAAAGAAAAGAGAAAAGAGAAAGCCTCTTGGGGCAGTGTAACCACTTGGACTTCCAAAACGTATCCTTAACAGTTAAGGCTAATTTACGCACTTGGATGAAACATACAATCATACCCTTGAAACATAAGGCTTATTTCCTTTAGTGACACACACATTTGCGATGGTCAGTTACGGAGTTGGAGACAAATAAAAAGGTTTGCGGAAACTCTCTCGTCGTCTTGCCAATTCAATTTTAGGGTTTGAGGAGAAGAAGGCAATCGGCTCCATAAAACCCTAATCCCGTCACCTTGTGAAGGTTTCTCTGTTCATTTTACCAAGTTTTCATGTCTTGATTAGTTGAAATAATCCCTATCTAACTTTCTATCTATCGTGTTCGTCATAATCGCAAATCAGAAGATAAAAAATCTGGAGAAAGCTATGCCGTCGACGTCGCTGGCGAACGGTAGTGTCAACGGAAACGCAGGAGAGAGGTCGGATGTTGTGGCTTCGACGGTGGGGGATGATAAGCCGGGAGTGTCGATGATGGAGCAGTTGGTTCCGGAGATTACAACACACGCGCTCAGCTACTTGGATTATCCAAGTCTTTGCCGTTTGTCCATGACCAATTCCTTGATGAGGAAAGCTGCTAATGACGATAATGCTTGGAAGGCCCTTTATCACAAGGTACTTACTCTTTGCACGAATGGTGCTTAAAGATTTAGATTTTTAGCTTTTTTTTTTCTGGATTCATGAGTATTTATATGATAGGCTTGCTGATTTTTTGTTGCTGATAGGATTTTACTCTGGAGCAAGATGGTATAACCCCGGTCAACGGGTGGAAAGCATACTATGCAACTACTAGAGCTATCATCAGTGTGAATACTGGATTCTTCAACATCATCAGAGAGAGGTCTCTTCAAGATATGGCTCAATTGTGGCTCAACTCCGACTATGTCAAGTGCATCCATGCTTCTGGCGAACTTTTCTCTGGGTACATACTTCTACTCCTCACATTTCACCTTATGAGGAATATGTGATTTATATATATTTTGTTACAGTTTTCTCTTGTTCTGTCTTTTCTATTCTGATGAGTTACCCTAGCATGGTTTTGGGTCGTGTTAACCGCTCTAAGGTGGGTCCTTTAGATATGTTTTCTTAGTTTGAGTTTACTAGTGGAACATACATTGGACCCAATATTACAATTCCCTGCTGCAATTTCTTGTTATTCAAGATAAAGCATACATGGTTAACATTGGTAATTCTACACAAGAGAATTTGGATTCTTTTAGCGGTTATGTTTTGAGTCTGTTCCAGTCCAGACCATTACGTTGTTAGCCTTAGAGGAGATAGATACACATTTCCGTATTTGTTTTAATGAGGCGAGACAGAGAGAGGTGACTCATCTAATGTGTTTGCCTCCTAAAATTGCAGGTACAGTGAAGTGATGCAAAGCTGGCAACTTTGTTTCAACTGGGAACAAGGGTTTGACTTTCAGGTCCACAACGTTCGTACTCGGGTACTAACCGACATGGCTTGGGTCACAATGAAAGCATACCTGAACGTGGACGCTGGTCCGTTCCTCATCACCAACGTGTTTGAGTACCACAATGGGAGGTGGCACATGGTTCATCATCACAGCTCAGTGATGCTCATCGATGGCGTCAATCAACAGGTTGTTCATTGATCATTGATATCTCTAGCTTTGCTTTCTCCATCTTTTCCTTTTAAGGGACAAAAAAAAAGAAGGGAGAAGGAAACCTGCGTATTTTGGAAATTGACTTATTAGATTAATTAGTGCTATTATTTAATTTGAATGACATGTACTCAATGCTTATTTTAAATGGTTTGGTCTAATTGCTTTCCTAGTTACCATTTTATTTTCTTGGGTATGTTAATCAGTTGGATCAAATATACTTTTTTTTTTAATCAAAAATACTTCAAAATCACTTTGGACTGTTTGTGCAAGACTTTAAGTACATTGATGCCATTAACTGGAGCAGATGATTGGTTACTCAAACAAATTGATTAGCAATTACTGGGCATAGATTAAGAATGTGCTTCCGCACAGATTGTCATCAGTCGTGCTACGGTTAAGATATTGTATTATGTAAGCAATCTATTCAACTGCTACACGCCATGTAGCATCGATCTTGTAGAGAGATCTCATAAGGCATACGTATGCAGCTTCGTGAAGTCATTCCTCGGCGAAGGGGAATTGAAATAACAACTGGAGGAAGAGGAATCGAAATAATAACCGGAGGTAGAGGAATCGAAATAACAACCGGAGGAAGTAGATGGAGCAAAGGGACACAAAGAATTGGCCAATATTAGCATGATATACTAATTTCACTGAACCTGCCACCGAACATAAATTTTCGTTAGTTCAGCTTACTTGGTTTGATTCAGTAGATTCTTTTAAAAATTTTGATTTTTAGTCCGGCAATCAGTTATTTTGGTGTTATTTTAAAAAGATGTATAACATACCGTGCTAGAAATCCGAACTTAACTAACTAAATTTTAAACCAAACAAACCAAAATAACCGAATCAATCTAGTTTAACCAAACTAATTCAAAATTTTGAACAAAATTAAACAAAAATCTAACCGAAAATAAAAACTTTGTTAGGATTTTTAAAAACCGAACTAACCGAATACCGAACCAAACTTTATTTTAGGTTAATTCACTAAGATTTATGTAGTAGATATACATATACTTGCATGTAATAGATTAAGCACTCGATCATGTCTAACTTATGATTAATTATGATGTAAAACAATTTGGTTATTTCTTGTTTAATGAGTAATGTTACCATATCAACATTATAATAAACTCATTTGATTATTAGTGATAAATTTGAGTTCACATCACGAACACTGAAATGGTATTTGTAGCTTTTGTGAGCTTCTCCAGCTTTGATCTTCTCCAATGATAAATATGGAAGAAAATGTGAGGTTGTACATCCTCTTCTTAAGAATATACGCTAATTTCAACTCTTCCAGCTGAAGTTGATGTTGCGATGACTCCGGATTGACAAACAATCATTGGTTTCAAACTTTTCCTGCAAAGAATGAATTATATGAAGATGTTGAAAGTCTGTTCTTTCTTCGCTCTACTAATCATCTAGGTTTGTTGATTGTTATTGGCATATTATATAAAACAAATTACAACAATTGGTTTCTTGTTATGCAAATGAGTCTAGATGCCACAAATAAGCTTAGTTATGTTGACTGAACTTTTCATATACAAGATACATATAATTTGTTTGAGATTTAGAATAGATGTAACAATATAGTGAAGGCTTGGCTATTGAATGTAGTGAACAAATAAATCTATGATGGTTTGTTTTATGAAGATGCATTTTAGATGTAGAGTGATGTGTTGATGAGATTTAGAGTCACTGCTATACTATTAGTGAAACCAATCTTGTGCAATACCATTTAAGTGCTAGTTATTAAATGCTTTAGTATTCACACTATCACTGGATATGACACACTCTTGACAAATGCTATAAATTACATGGTTATCTTTCATGATCGGTTCCTAAGTGGAAGAAGTCTTATACTATTAGTGAAACCAATCTTGCTGCAATGCCATTTAAATCTCAACATGATCAACATTCATGCGGAAAGATATGATCACCCAACGGAAGATATATCTAAAGATCAGATTCAACTATGGTTTCTTTTCTTAGATCCAAACTTCGGATTTCTTATGTGAAATCCTTACCTGATAAGATTTTTGATTCGGCTTCTAATTATGTATCTATCATCTCACATGTTTCAGTTACTTTTTTGATCAATACTACAAATGCTATTATTACATGTTTATTTATTCTATATCTACATAACTGGCAATATCTCTTAGAGTTCAAGTACTATAGGTTCATGGCCCATTCACCATGTCACCCATACAAAAAAAAACTATATGTATAATATGTTGGAAGTAAGCTTGAAATAGCTTGAAGAGAAAGCTATCCTAATCTTATCTTGTTTTGGTTATTAAAAGAGATTAGAAAATATCTTATAAATGTTATGACTATTAAGAATAGGAAGTTTGTATTCCTAAATAAGGTGTCGCATCACTTAAGGGTTTTGAGATTGATTTAGGGTTCTTGAGTTTTGAGTAATTTTCTCAAGAGATTAATAAGAGAGAAAGTTCTTATTAAACATATTCTATAATCAGTCTGTGAAACTAGAGAATATGGATCATTAGACACAAAAATATTATTATGTCAAATGGTTATACATTTAACATTAATGGCATATATTTTATTCAATTATGTTATACTATCTCGCTACATAATGCTCTTTAGATTACTACATTTAATTCAGTTTGATCAATGTTAGTGCGTTAACTAAAACTTTGAATTGTAAATATATTTTTACATATGATCAATAGTTTATTTAAGAACTTATGCGGGGATTGACAAGTGTTCATGGTTGTCAAGTATGTAACTTAATGTTTTTGATTTCAACAAGTCTGACCAACCTATTTGTTTATAAGGTACTTTTACAACATATTCAATTCCACTAGTTTGTTCTAGTTTTATTATTAATTCAATAACGTGGTAAAAGAATTGGTTCACCTGTCAAGTTCAAAAGTTGATGTTCTTTATGATGTACACATTTTAAAGAATTCAAAGACTGATAAGATGCAATCACATATTTGTCAATTATGTCTTCTTTCAAAACATGAACATCTACCTTTTATATCAATTAACATTTGAAATACACTATTTGAACTTCTGCATATTGATAAATCGTTCTATTATATGTTTCTTACGTTGATGGATACAACTATTTCTTAATAATAGTAGATATTTACAATTGAGCCACATGGATTTATTTGATGAAAAATATGATGTGTTGCATATAATTCCTGATTTTCTTGCAAATGTTGAAAATCAATATAAGAAAAAAGTTCAATTTATTTCGTCTGGCAATGTTCATAAATTGAAATTCACTTATCTATTTATTTATAATGTATAATTTCATTTCATTATTGTCATGAAACATCACAACAAAATTATGTGATAGCACCACAAAAAAGTGTGAATTATATCACTTAAATTGTATCACAAAAAAATGATATCATTTTACATTACTCATTTATAAATGAAACAAATATGTATGGTTCAAAATCAGTTATGATAAATAATGTTATTATTAGTTAACTTACATAAGTTCAATAAAAGTGACATAATTTATATTAATTTGTATCACTTTTACAAAACTGATATAGTTTTATAAACTTATATCAGTTCAGTAATTAATGTATCTAGTTTTTCTGGTTAACATCACTTGAAAAAACTTATGCGGGGATTGACAAGTGTTCATGGTTGTCAAGTATGTAACTTAATGTTTTTGATTTCAACAAGTCTGACCAACCTATTTGCTTATAAGGTACTTTTACAACATATTCAATTCCACTAGTTTGTTCTAGTTTTATTATTAATTCAATAACGTGGTAAAAGAATTGGTTCACCCGTCAAGTTCAAAAGTTGATGTTCTGTATGATGTACACATTTTAAAGAATTCAAAGACTGATAAGATGCAATCACATATTTGTCAATTATGTCTTCTTTCAAAACATGAACATCTACCTTTTACATCAATTAACATTTGAAATACACTATTTGAACTTCTGCATATTGATAAATCGTTCTATTATATGTTTCTTACGTTGATGGATACAACTATTTCTTAATAATAGTAGATATTTACAATTGAGCCACATGGATTTATTTGATGAAAAAAATATGATGTGTTGCATATAATTCCTGATTTTCTTGCAAATGTTGAAAATCAATATAAGAAAAAAGTTCAATTTATTTCGTCTCGCAATGTTCATAAACTGAAATTCACTTATCTATTTATTTAAAATGTATAATTTCATTTCATTCTTGTCATGAAACACCACAACAAAATTATGTGATAGTACCACAAAAAAGTGTGAATTGTATCACTTAAATTGTATCACAAAAATAAATGATATCCTTTTACATTACTCATTTATAAATGAAACAAATATGTATGGTTCAAAATCAGTTATGATAAATGATGTTATTATTAGTTAACTTACATAAGTTCAATAAAAGTGACATAATTTATATTAATCTGTATCACTTTTACAAAACTGATGTAGTTTTATAAACTTATATCAGTTCAATAATTGATGTATTTAGTTTTTCTGGTTAACATCACTTGAAAAAAATAATACAAAATTTCTATCAATTAGAAAATGATGTCAACAAAAATTATGTAACTATATTTTCATTTGACGTCATTACAGTAAAAAATATGCTATTTTTATTAATTTTCGCTAATAATATTTTTTCTTAAACTTCAAAAAATATATATAACAAGAATAAGAAAAGTGGTTGCGATTTTTTTTTTGCTCAACTAATTAAGCATATTCTCTTATAGGAAGATACTCATTCACCAGTTCGTCTCCTTCTCAATTTCTTATACGAGTCTCATGATCTTTATTGTAGTAATATCTGTTTTATTAATTCCAATCAGTTTCCATAATGCAGCAGTAACTCTCTTTCTCTTTATCGATATGTGAATTCAAAATATAATTGTCTTTTGTTTGTTTAGTCATGATTTTGATTAGATTTTTTGAATAATACATAAATAATACATACTGCTAAACTTTGTGGTCTCGAATCTCTAGTTTAGTATTTTTCTTGAATCTGCAGATCTGAATATAATACATGGTAGGACATTAGTCAACAGTAATAGTTTGTCCAAATATTTATTTTCTTTGACTGTTGCAAAAGTCATAATCATATTATATTGTATGTTTTCTGCAAGAGTGGTTATCAGTTTGAAGACGGGCACAGAGAAGGAAATATAAATATCAGGAAGAAAAATATTGATCAAAGAACTTCCAAGACCTCTTTCAAAAAAAAAAAAACTTTCAAGGCGGATTATGTTTTTGCTATTCTTGTTTTTGAATACATCTTCTTCTTTTTGTTCTTGTTTTTGGAGACTTCTCTATGTTTTTTTTTTTTAAAAAATTCTTCGTCAGATTGTATATTCACTTAAAATAATTAATGGAAATATTATGATTTTCTTATTACTTACATAAACATCGTTTATGTACAAATAATAATAGTAATTTAAATATCTGAAATGATAATAACAAATTATATAAACAATTAAAATTGATCATTAATCGTATATTAATATTAACATCATTTAAGTAACGGATATAGATGTTAGCATCATTTCTTAGAAATATTGATCAAAGAACTCTTAGGGTCTTTTTCAATAAAAAAAAAAGAACTCCAAAGGGGATTATGTTTAATTGTTTTGCTATTTTTATTTCTGAATTCATCTTCTTCTTTTTGCTCTTGTTTTGCAGACTTGTATATGTTCTTTTTATTTAAATATTTTTCTTCGCCAAATTGTATATTCACTTAAAATAATTAATGGAAAATATTATGATTTGTTTATTTACTTACATAAACATCCATTAAAGATCCCATCAGAGCAATTGAGTCATTAGAAGGAATCAAAGCAATCAAATCCCTTCTAGTATAAACTGTACTAAGAGCATCTTTATCCCACGATCCCATTTGGGGTTCTTTTTTTTTTTTCTTTTTCGTCTGATTTAAAAAAATGAACCAATAGCTGGCCGTCACGTGTCATTGAGATCTGCAAACAGTACAAAAACCTCCAAAAATGTTTCTTCTTTCACGACTTTTATCAACAGTTTTTGTGATTTTTGGTGGACCCCGCGCGTAAGAGATCCACCTTTTTCATGCGTTAAAGGTGCTCTAAGAGCATCTCCAACAAACCCCCTCATTTTTTATGGGAATACACCCTCAAAATAACGGAATGAAGGGATGGTTCTCCAACGGTAGCCCTTAATTTTTTTCTCTTAAAAGTTTATATTTTACATTGTAGTCCTCAATTTTATTAAATATTAATTATTTTCATTAAACATTAATAAATTAACAATAAACACATATTAATACATGATATTGACATAATTAGTAAACAAATTTAATTATAACTCAAATTACTTATAATGAAAGATAGAAAACATAAAAACATAAAATTATATATAATAATAAAACACACAATTCAAATTACAACATATATATATATATATATATATATATAAAAAATACAAAACTAATCAATAAGATCATTTTTGTAATGCTCCCATATATGCTCAATTAAAGCGTTTTAAGTGATAAATAAGCTTCTTTAACTTTTATTCAAAGATTACATACTAAAAATTGTTGAAAATGCATATCTTCGTTTATGGCCATCTCAACATTTATTGGCGGCGTTGGTCTTGCATCTCGATTCGGTGCGTTGATATCTCCTATATCGAGATATTTTGGTGATTTTGGAGGTTCAAGACCAAATTTACCTGAATATTAGTATTGTAATATATATTTTAATGTGTAATATGCCATCTTATGGATATATCTGAATATTAGTATTGTAATAAATATTGGTTTTGTGTAATATTTTAGTTTATGTAACTTTTATTTTAATAGAAAAGATTATGATTGTATAATGATTTTGTATTTGCATAAAATTTTCAAAATGTATTATGTGAAATAATATGTTTATATTATATTTTTATTAATATTATTATATTCTGGTATAAAATATTTATTAATATATTATTATTATTATTTAAATGTCAATATAAATATAATAGTAGAATGCTACATAAAAAAATAATAAATACATAATCCTTAAACATATATAAATAGAAGGATTAGAATGGAAAGTGAATAGTGTTTTAAGGGGGTGAACAGTGCACCCTCAAATTTAAGGGTGTATTGTTCACTCCCTTAAAATTTGAGGGGTTAAAGGTCTGTAGAGTGCAAAAACCCTTCAAAAAATGAGGGGATAAGAGTCTGTTAGAGATGTTCTAATAAGGATATAGCTGCAAATATACATTTTATTTTTTATACATAGGTCAGTTCTAAACCTTACAAATATATAATTGAGTTTTATGCAAAAACTATGTTTATTATGAAATACAAAATAAGTTTATATATATTAATACCCTCAACTCTTATGCTAACACATTATATACACTTTAAATATATAAAAAATTGCATATTTGAATAGACTGAGACAAGTCTACATAGTTTACATATTCGTGAGAATAGGTTAAAAATGCAAGGTGTAACCGTAGAAAGAGTTGTAAATTTAATCGTTCTTGATGGATACAATAAATTGATCGGTGAACTAGAAAACATCTTTCATCTCAAAGGCGATCTGCATGCTCGCAATAAATGGGAACTAATTTTTGAAGACAATGAAGGAGGTATGATGCTTGTTGGATATGATCCATGGATGTAAGTTTTCATTCTTTCTTTTCTATCTCTGTCTATTGTGAGATAAAGTTATTGAATATATTTTTTGATTTTGTATAGCGTGTTTTGCAACATGATAAAAAAATGCATACTCACAAAAAGATATCAACCTAATGAAACTAAACACCACATTCTCTGAAGGTGATTCAATGTCAACAACAACAATGCTACCAAGTTCTGACACCACTAAACCTCAAAACAGATACTAACCTCTCTTCATTAATTTTATTTTTCAAGTACCTTTTTTTCTTAGAGTAACGGTTTTGTTTTATACTTGTTCAGTTTTTCCATGTTTTGGTGTATAGTTTGTTGATTTGTCTTGGGAGTTGGGGCTTAGCTTTATATGCAACAAATGCCTTTTGTGTCTTTTTTCTTTGGTTGATATGTCTTTTTTTTTGCTATGTGTATGTAACATATATGGTTTTGTTATATGTTTATGTGATATATATGTTTCTAGCATTAATTTTTAATTCATTACTATCGTGTTATCTAACTATATTAAAAGTTGGTGAGCTAGAGATTTAAGAGTGTCCACCTCAGCAAAAAAATCACAGCCAATGAAAAGGCCATGTCATCGTCAATAAAAGAAAAATTCCACGTCAATGTGATTCTTTTGCAACCTAATTCTTCGTCTTCTTCTTCAAGTCGACTTTTCTGTTCAACAATTATCTTCTCAGCTTCTCCATGTAAATTAGTAGTTGTTTCTCATACATTTACTTTCATTTATTAATTTAGTGGCCACATCAGTTAGGCTTCATTGTGTGGGCTTAAATACAATTTGATCATTTTATATTTACGAATGGACTTTAGGTTTGGGCTTAAATTAGGGTGTTAATAAAGCATCTTTTTTTCGTCATTTATTTTTGTCGCAGTAAGATTTACAGTTACTGGCATTTTCCATTTCCTCCATCTTCATCACCTTTAAGCTTCCCTTTCAGCTGTACATCGCCATTCAACTTCTCCTCCTCCCACTAAATACATCTACTTTTGAATTCATCAAATTAAAGACAACAACTCCAGGAATTACTATTCGACTTCCCCTCTCAACCGCACATGTTCCCAAGGACTCTTCAGATGATCTTTTTGAATGGTTTGTTGAATCCGGCAGTGTATTTAAGGCTTTTTTTTTTTTTGGTAAAAGTGTATTTAAAGCTTTGAAAGAGGTAATGGTATCAGTTTATTTGGAGAGCGTAGAGAGATTAAACGGCATGGCAAAGCAAGCAGGAGAGGTTTTCTGGTGGCCGTTTACTCAGCATAAACTTGTGGCTGAAGAGGCTGTGATGGTTATAGACTCCCGATGTGATGAAAATTTTTCGATATACAAGGTTTGTAACAAAAGATCCTTTATTTATGTAGTTACTATAGTTTCAGTTATCTTCTTCTAGAATTTGCAGCAGGTAATGAGACTTGTGAGTTTTATCATTTTCAGGCTGCCGATAATAATTCTATCACCCAGCAATTTGACGCTTGTGCAAGCTGGTGGACACAGGGACCAGATCCTGCTTTACATGTCATTTGTGCCATTAATTTCTAAGTTTTATGATAACTATCAGTCCCTATCGTCTTAATCTTAATGCTCATCTTTCTTTCTGATGAATTTTCTGAAGTTTGTTTTGAACTTTTATTTAGACTATTTCAGGCTGCGCTTGCTATAGAGATGGGTTTAATGTGAGTCTTATTTGATTGAGTGATGGAATCATTCAGCAGTTTAGAGAGTAATAAGATATGTATCTTTTAAATTAACATCACATTCAATGTTTGTTTCTGTTCACATTTTGACTTAGGTTTTGTGTATAAAAACCATAAAACTAATGAAAATTATTAATAAAAATAAATACAATCAAACAAGGCCATTTACGTAGTAAATATAAATTAACTTTAAATACATAAACCGCGCGTAGCGCGGTGAAAAGATCTAGTTTACAATAGTTTTTCATTTTCAAGTGGTAATTGAATGACTTGAGCATAATACTATGCGATACAGAAGATTTCACATTCCCTACAAAAATTAAGAGCAAATAATTGACTTTGGAAGGATTGATGTGAAGAATAATTGAATAACACAAATTCAAGTAATGAAATGTTTTAAATATTTAAAGATATATTATATACTTCAATCAAAATTAACATTTAGTCAAATGTGATTAAAGAGGAACAAGTATAGTAAAAAGGTCAGTTACGAGGACGAGTACTCTCAGTAGTACCAGAGACACCGGACATAACTTTAGCGACATCACCTGCTGAAGCTTCTGGCTTCTTCTTGCTATACAAGACCATGTAGCCAAGTCCACCAACAATCACAAATCCAACCGCTGCTGCTCTCACCGGACACATCCCACTTAATGATCGCCGTTGGCCCAATACTTCACTTGACTGCCTTGCTGCTTGTTCCGGTCCCGCCATTTCCCTTTCCTTTTTATATATCTATATAGATATTGTATTTCTTTAGAATCAACTTATATCTCTCAAGAAATTTCTTTCAAAGATTGTTTTGTGATGTTTGTTTTTGTGTTGTTGAAAATTTGGAATTTGTAGAAGATATTTGTTGGTTATTGAGGTTGACCGCACTCTTAGGACACGATCAAGACCCGCTCCTTTGATATGTGTTTTATTATTTATTTATCTATTTATAGTTTTTTTGTTTTATTTATAGCTTCAAAATAAAGTACGTTATTGTTAATATGAAATTACTACAAAAGAATGTAGGAGTTTATGAGGTCAAGAAGTCAGATGAAAGTGATGTTCTCACCTATTTTCTAAGTGCGCATTTTGATAAGCCCTGCCCAAAGAGGGTCACTTGAGAGTGGCAGAGATGGTGGTTAACTATGCTATTAGAAATGATAAAGCTCAAGGGATGTCTGCCTTCCCTTTGAAAAGCTTGCCACGACAGTTTAATCCTCAAATCCTTGAGGTACTTACAATGAATGCTTCATAGTCAACTTGAAAAGCTTTGCGAAGGAACTAAGGTAGGCAGACTTCTTCGACATGCTTGCTTCTCTATCCTTTAACATGTATGAATCCGCCTGTGATTTCATCATGTTTCCGAATTTCTCCTGATCTTTCAGTCCCTTATGACGATCAGTCTTCAGCATTCCCAGAACTAGTTGAAAATTATAGCTAGCAAAAGTTCATAATCTTGAGTTAATCGATCTCCGAGAGGTTGTACCAGCTAGCGAGGGGAACATCTATGTGATTGTGGAGAAGTGAAAAGCTTTCCAGAGGTACTTCCACCTAACATCAAAGAACTTAACCTCAATGACTGGAATCAGAGAAATCCTAAAATCCATCGAGGCCCTTTCCAAACTAGTCAAGCTAGACCTTGGGGAACTGCAGAGAGCTACTGAATTTCCGATCAAGATTTACATACAACATTGAGTCTCTCACACTTGTCAATCTTTCAGGCTTCATTGTGCGCAGGAGCTTCCCTGAGATTGTGAAAGAAGTAGGATAGCGCCAGTATCTCTATCTGAGCTGTACAGGTATCCAAGAACTACACACTTCAATCTCCAATATAATTAGTACGAAAGTGATGTACATCTTGTTTATAATGTGGAGGGTCATCAAACAGTAATTGCTTGCTAATGAACAGAAACAGATGATTAAGTATCAAAATATTTGACTGTATTAGATTTACTCTCCTTTTAATATTATATTTGAAAGCTTGGTTCATATAATTACAAAGAATAATGGTTAATAGCAATTATTTGAGGTGTTTTTGGTTCTGTATTCTTTCCCCATATAACTTCGACGATACCACACTCTGACGAAACTGAGTTATAAGTAATGATCACACTGAGTTGTTGAACATTGGACAAACAATTTGGATCTGGTTCGTCAGGTTGTTTCAGTCGGACATACATATCTTTGTTTCCGTATAGTTCATCATTTCATAAAAGAAAAAGTTATACAGTTCACTGAGGAACTTACGTAAAATGAGATATTGGGGGTTTCATATCCCAAGGTCAAAACTCGGAGAGGCTGAGTTCAGATGAGTCACTGTGCGTGCAGTTGTCTTGGCCGGTGAGGTTTCTCGCACCATGAACTGCTGTTGGGGAAGTGAATCTCTAGATGCTGCTGCAAGTCAGATAAGCGGAATAAAGAATTGTTCGTAGATGAGACTCTTTCCCATTTCAGTTTGAAGTCTTAAAGCATTTATAAATTGGGAGATTACCTCCAGGTGATATAGGCTCCACTTTAATGATTTTGCTGGTAACAGATTCTGGAGGTACTTTTGTTATGGACATTGGCGTCTTCTGGTTAATGTCAAAACATGTGGCTGTAGCATTCGGTCTCTGAAGTATGGAGAGTATTTGATTTACTGCAATAGAGGTTTCCTTGCATTGGTATTACAAAGAAACCACTTGGAGAAAAACTGAAACAACTAAAATGAACATTTGACTTACCATCACGTAAAGGTTTATGTGAAGGAACGTCCTTGCTGTACTTGTCATTCTCTCGTCTTAAATCAGCACCGGACATTCCTGCGCCACCATTTTACCAGATCAGACAGCAGCATCAAGATTGCAACATTATACGATTCAGACCTAATCTAGTTTATAATTACTTGGTACAAAGCAACTTTAACATCTTAGAATTAGGGAAGTGCACTAACAGTAACAAGAAAAAAAAAAAACGTGTGCACTTAACTGTAACTAAGCTGAGATAACGCTTCAAATTACCACAATTAAGAAAGTATGAAGTGGGTAGATTTCCCAGATTATTACCTTTATAAGAAGTGTTGATCAGAGGGCGATCATTCTTTCCATTATTAGCTGAGCCAAGAGGTGAAGTCCCTGCGTACTTGCTGTTAGTAACAGCATGCGCAAAACCAACAGGCATACATGTATGTTCAGATTTCATTATTTAAACAGAGCCATCATACATGAAAAAGAGTATCCTATCCCTAACATGAACTATGGGTAAGCACATCTTTCAAAGAAATATTTGTTCTCTATCCTATTGGAAAATTATCTACGAACTCCAGAAGATCCCTGACATAAGCTTCAATCTAATTCCGCAAGAAGGTAAATAATCTATACGGCTTAGATATAGTGAGTTCAGAACAGATACATAGCATTAATTCATTTACACCCGTCAGTATTAACCACTGTACAATGTGCCAAAGGTTCTAATTTAGCAAGAATTTACGTTCTCCAAAAGATAACAGAGAAAACGTTTCAAAGAAAGGATCAAACCTTCAAATGTTGGTTTTACAGAGTCAGGACTTAATGCCGCAAACTTGTGCAGTTCTCTCTTTTTAAATCCTGAAATTATAAAGAGAAAACATTAATAGCCTGCTGCGTTCGAATCTGACACCCCAAATAGGATTTAGACAAAGATCATAAAACATTTCTGGGTAGGAGTAGATGAGGGAGTTACAGTTCAGCATACAAAGGTACCAACACAACTAAACTCACCTCTAATCATCTTGCGAGATGGGCTGAGATCCTTCAAAGCAACATCATTTGCAAGGTTAGGTTTCTTCTCTTCTGACCAGAAAGAAAGGAAAAGGAAAATGAGTAAGAATACGTGTAGTCAAAAATGAAACATCGTCCTGAGAAAATTACCAGAATAAGGGGAAGATTTCTTGAAATTAGGCCTGAGGACTGCAAATGGTTTGCGCTGTTGAACAAAATGATCATTACTTGGTTGAGCCTTTGGATCAGATGAAGGCTCATTACATCCGTCCTTGGGTTCGCAAATATCGACAAGATATGCTTGAAATGTGATTCGTTCACCCGAGTTCACAACTTCGTTTGCTTTTAACATCCTGCTTTCGAGTAGATTATCAGCCTCATCATAAAGCAACACCTGGTTTTCAATTCACTTTGGGGTTAGCTGAGCTCTGAATCTTCATTACTAAACAGATAAATTTGCAAGTGCCTATGGAAACTGGAAAGCAAAATACATAATTCAGATAATTTCTATCAAGTCTAGTCATACGTGTTCAACATTACTGATCCAAGAGTGCTACTAATTACTTGAAAGACTACATCAGATTATATTACAGGATGCAGCGAGAAATCATAGTCAACTCAGTTTCGGAGCTTTTCTTGTTGAAAATCTTCACTAGACAATCAAAGAATAAGTGGAAGAGTGAATCGTTTTCTTCACTAATCGACACGATAAACTATGTGATAATCACCGAACACTACACAGTTAGTGGATGAAAATCTGATTCATTGGAATAATCGGAGGCGAATGTGAAGAAGAAGAAGGAAACCTTTTTTCTGGTGAAATGGAGATCGAGGAAGCCATCGTGATAGACCTTTCTCTTCTGTGTGAGGTGCTTCGTGTACATCGCAATCCATCTCTTCTTCTCCGCCATTTTCTTCTTAATCCCTAACGCCGCGACTTCCTTCCGAGTTGAGAGAATCACAGTTTGGTGACTGATTACCTTTTTTTTTCAAAATTTGAGTGGACGCTTTCTACTTTCTTTCTTTTTTAATCAACGGACGCTTGCTACTCTGAATTAAACTCCTCTAATGAATCAAAAGTAGGGCTAGGCACAAAATGCTTGATACTTAACTCAATTTGGTTTAAAAAAATAAGTATTTACTCTAATCAAAAGTCGAATAACAACTAAACAGATTTTATTCGTAAGTACAAATCAAGTATCAAATTCATTTTAACTTTTAACTACTTGATTTATTACTTGTTACTTGTCATATATTATTTGGTTTATTAAATACTTAGTATATATTTCATTAATTAATTAAAATTTATGTATTTTATGAGTGATCACAATTATTTGTTACTTGTCTCATATTCACTACTTGGTTGGTACACGATCCTTAAAGTCAAATATTTTTTTTGAATAAGATGTGTATCAAATAGTCTATATTTAAACTGCCTTCAAATACAAAATAATAAAATAAAACTAATTATTCAATGTTGTTTGGTTTATTATTCGTTTTTTTAATGAATAAAGATACATTTTCTTAAGTTATAGTAAAATAACTTGTTTATATTTCAATTTTTATAAGTGAATTAGACATAAGTGATATATTTATTCAAACATTTTGAAAATTTTTCTTTCTTAATATAATTTATTTCACGAATGACTAAAAATCAGAATAAATGACAAAATGAAAACAATGTCATATTATTTATATATAATAAATTTATTTATCTTTAAATTTTAACTAATTATCAAATAATTTATCAATAGTTATCAAGTAATTTGTAAAAATATTACTAATAACAAGTAATAAAACAAGGCAAGTAACTTGTAAATCCCTCAATTTTTCGCAAGTACTTGAAACTGCAAGTACTCGTTTTTAACAAATCAAATACAAGTCCAAAATTTGAATACTCGTACAAGCCAAGCCGAGTATTAAGTATACCGAAAATATCAAGTACTCGGCTTGTGCCCACCACTAACGAAAAGGTTACTTATCTATGTATCTATTTATATATATATATATATATAATATAGTTTCCTCCTTACTGGTGAGGACACATCATCAAATAAGATTATGAGCGATCGACACAGATCGGAAAACCAACTGATTTGGGTTTCATTTTTTTGGGCCTTCTGATTTTCAAATAATAGATATTTAACCCGCTAAGGAAAAAAGCTCTTTCTCTTGACCTGGATATTATCATCGATAAGGGTTTCTTAGAAGAGTCGTCCTCAGCCATCTTAAAGAATAACGATTCAGTTCGCTTTATTTCTGTTCGACCAAAACTACTTCAATTACGGAACCAACACATTAATCAAGTTCTTAAATCATTCGCACACGACCTCTGCATCAATCTGTAGTTATATTCTCAGTGGCGGTGTGTCTACATGTATAAAAATGTATGCTTCCCTTCTCTAAAAACCATCTTCATAACTTTCTTTGCATATCTTTCTTCTTTCAAATGGCTGACTCGAAAATTTTTCTTTCCCGATTTGAAGTCCGGCTGGTGATCTTCCACTGTTGAAGTCAGATTGTTTGTGGTCAAAGATGGCGAAAGCTTTCACTGATGGCGGTTGCTTTCACCGATGATCAGACCACGAGTTTTACGAAGCATGTTGTCTCATCGACAAATACTCAAATGGTATGTCGTTGTTTATTTTTGTCTTATTTAATACACAACCTTTTGTTTATACGAACAAATATTCGAACTGATGATAAGATGGTACCTTGATATTTATATATGTTGTGCGTGTGAAACATGGTTCATCACGAAGGAGAAGCTAAAGAAAGTGATGAAATAGATGGGGGAGAATCTAAAGGCAGAACTTTGGGAGATGATTGATGTGGACATTGATAGCAATGGAGGCATCTATATAATAGCTTAAAACACCCCTCAGATAAGCATGTATACACTAAAACCTTTTAGTTGCAGTTAAGTTTATTCAAAAAGCTTAGCTAATAAAACTACAAAAGAAATTTGGTTTAGGAACCGGCATAGGATGAACTAATATAAATATTATGAGTGTTCAAAGGGACAGTTTCATGTCGGTACTTGAAGTAATATTATTTCAAGTTCTTTTTAGGTTTCATATCATGTATATGTAGTTTCTTATTATATTTTCCAGGGAAGCTTGAAGATTATCAACCACCAGCCTTGTACTTCAAATGGAGTTCATATACATATTCTCAGATATTTATTGCTTAAATCTCCTCCTTCATTCATTTTCATTTGTTTTTTTCCTATGTGTCAGAGAGTAGTCGTCGACAGGTGCATCAAGAATTGGTGACGGGAGAGATCAGCTGGAGAAGAAAGAGCTAGATCCAGGATCGTCGAGTCAGCATGAGAGGAGATGGAGCCAGAGATTCACGAGGAAGGATGTTTTTGTGTGATTCGGCTTTGTTGTGTATGGGACTGACAATTTAGGGATGACCACACACTCTATTAGAGATGGTGAATAAATCTCAAACTCTAATCTCTCTTAGACACTATTCTCAAACTCTAATCTCTCTTTGACACTTTTCTTCTTTTAATTTTATATGGCAAACGAAAAAACATAAAATTAAATTTGAAACGTGAATATTTTTTATTTGATTTATAGAATTTGATAAAATTATTTCAAAAATCAAAAAAACGTTTTTTCATATTTTCACGAAAATCATCAAAATATGATTAAAAACGATGTTAAAATATTTTTTTTCGAATTTGAATGCTATAGAATTTAAATCTCCACCCATGGGTTCACCCATCCATTGGGGGGGGGGGGGGTTGTTTTTTTTTGAACATCGGGGGGGATTTAATTTGGGGATTTAGGTTTTGATCAAAAAGGGAATTATGAAATAGGGGTATAAGAGATCATGGGAGCCCATAAAAAATTACCTCTAAAAGAATAGGGGTACAGGAGAAGTTAACTCAGCTATTTAAACAAAAGCACCTCATAAAAGAGGCTTAAGTACGTAGATTTTCCCTCTTTGTATACTACTGCAAGATCATGTGTTCTCTTTTGTTAAAAAATATAAAGAATAGATGAGTGAAAATAGTCACATTTGTAAATAATCAAACTTGGATTACGAAGAAACTAACTAGCATAAACTAATATAAAAACCAAAGTTGGTAGAAGATGAGAATATTTTGAGTTAGCTGTTAAGTTAAACTGATTAATTGATTAATTTTTGTTGTTTGGTAAGATTCCCTATGTGTGTACGTGTATCATGTTCATAAATAGAAGGGTAAACAGAACTAAAAAGTTACATGATTAAATTACTGAGTTTCAGAAAAGTCTATATAGATATGAAAGCATATTGATTTGATATTGTGACAGCACTTATGTGTAACAACATGGTATATAGCCTAGCTAGGCTACAACTATACCACTACAAGAAAACTAAGCCTTTACTAGGAAACTTTACTAGGAAAATAATTCCTCGTAAAAATACTACGAGTTTACTTCGAGTTTACGAGGAAACCATTTTTCCTCGTAAAGTTCTCGTATAATTACGAGAAAACAGTTTCCTCGTAAACTCGTAGTAGACTTACGTGACCCTTACGAGGAAAATAATTTTTTCCTCGTAAACTCATAGTAATTCATTTCCTCGTAAAGTCCTAGTAATTGTTTACTACGAAATTAGGAGGAATGGATTTGTTACTACGAAATTAAGAGGAAATGGATAGAAAATATCGAATTTAAAATCAAAAACATGTTTTGTACCTACTTTTCCTAGCAATTTCCTAGTAAATTCTCAGATTCGAAAATTTCTATATATAAGCTTGATCAAACACAAAAAAAAAATGTCCGGTCCGGAAAATTATTTCGAGTTGCGGAAGTGGATGTATTCACACTGAGATAATAACGGGAGGGTGACGAAAGAATTTCTCGAAGGGTTGGAGACGTTTATGCATCAAGCAGATTCTACACCACTCACGCAGGAAAGTGGTAAGATGTTCTGTCCTTGTCGGAAATGTTGCAATACCAAATTAGGCCCTCGTGAAAATGTTTGGAAGCATTTAGTAAATAGAGGTTTCATGCCATATTATTATATNCGTAATGAAGGTAGCAGTAGTAATAGCTATCATCACCAAGAGGAACAAATGGTAGATTGTGATAGGGTTCATGATATGGTAGGTGATGCCTTTGTAACTCATGATGATGATGAAGTTGAAGAACCTAACTTAGATGCCAAAAAGTTTTATGAAATGTTAGATGCTGCGAATGAGCCAATTTACAGTGGTTGTAGAGAAGCTCTGTCTAAATTGTCGTTGGCTGCTAGAATGAACAGTATTAAAACCGATCACAATCTACCTGAAAATTGTATGGATGCATGGGCAGACTTGTTTAAAGAGTATTTGCCAGAAGACAATGTGTCTGCTGAATCTTATTATCAAATTCAAAAATTGGTATATAGTCTTGGGTTGCCCTCGGAGATGATAGACGTTTGCATCGACAACTGCATGATTTACTGGGGAGATGATGAGAAGTTAGAAGAATGTCGATTTTGTAAGAAGCCACGATTCAAACCGCAAGGTCGAGGGCGTAATAGTGTACCGTACCAAAGGATGTGGCACCTACCAATCACAGACAGATTGAAAAGATTGTACCAATATGAGGAGACTGCTGGAGGGATTAGATGGCACGCCGAGCATACTCAGACGGATGGAGAGATGACTCATCCATCAGATGCAAGAGCCTGGAAACATTTTAACAATGTACATCCACATTTCGCTAGCAATAGCCGGAATGTGTATCTTGGATTATGCACTGATGGATTTAGTCCATTTGGAATGTCTGGGAGACAATATTCATTGTGGCCGGTCTTTCTTACACNGATGGCACGCCGAGCATACTCAGACGGATGGAGAGATGACTCATCCATCAGATGCAAGAGCCTGGAAACATTTTAACAATGTACATCCACATTTCGCTAGCAATAGCCGGAATGTGTATCTTGGATTATGCACTGATGGATTTAGTCCATTTGGAATGTCTGGGAGACAATATTCATTGTGGCCGGTCTTTCTTACACCATATAACTTGCCATCGGAGATGTGCATGCGATGAGAGTTTCTATT